AGCGGTTTTTCATCTCCTTATAAATACGGCAACCTCTGTAGTTGGCCGTGTGGTTTTCCCCACAGTTGCTACATTTCTTGGCAGATTGGTTCTCCTTATTTAGAGGGCAGTCCATAGTTAAATGTGCATCCCCGCAGACAACGCAGACTGCGCGAAGTTTGCAGTATGTTCTCGTATGATCATATTCTTGACAGTTCGTACATTGGATGGGTCCATTCCGTTTATGGGGTTCCTCAACCGTGATTCTGCGGTGCAATAGATATTGAAGCTTGTAGATTGGGTGAACTTCATTTTTATTTGAAGGCATATTTTCCGGTGTCAGTTGATTATACTAAACTAGCAGAGTCTGTAGCCCGCAGCTTCGCCTGCGGAAATTAAAATTGAAAATTAAGCATTGCTTTATCTTTGGTACTTATTTTAAATTTTTTTGTGCGTGTGTGTGTACATAGCAGAGCAAATCATTGTTTGTTTTTGTTTTATACAAATCCAAAGTTTGTCGATAAATCAACATTTGAAAACTAATAAATAGTTTGCTTATCGGGCTTTTGCATTTTAAAAAATAAAAGCAATTATAAGGAAAATTTCGACTGTAAAATTCAGCCTAATGGAATTTCTGTAAGGTATACCGATATTTTAAAATTTAACGTTTACTTAAGATTTGCGATATAATTTATTTTTGGCTGTGGTATTTTCATTTTCCCCTTGCGCGGTCACACTTAAATTGCGACAGCAGGACATACATATGTACATACATACATGTGCCAGCAGAACATACATACAAACATATGGGGACGCGTGACGTCACATCATTTTATCCAAATTTGAAAATATTGGGGACTTGGTTAAAATTTATTGAAATGCAAGGCAGAGGGAGAGGGAGGGAGACGGAATCATTTGTTGACAATTTGTATGAAAATGCAGAGAGAGATAGCAATATGCAGGCAGCATTATGGAGACACTTGAATTCGATAATAGGTCGACTTTTTGCTTAGTTTCTCTGTTTAAAAGATAGCTAGAGCTTTGGTAAAACCATCAAATGAATCGTTAAGGTTTAAGGAAAAACTTTACCGAAGGAATTTTCGATATTCAGTTTAGAAGTACCATTTTTCGACGTTTGAAGAGATTTTTGGCCAAATTGTAATTTTAGAAGGGCTGTTAAAAATAGTAAAAAGCCTTAAATCTAAGCGGTCAAATTTTTTAAACATGTATAATGTTTTAAAGTATTTTTGGGCGAAAACACGGATTTGATTGGTTAAACGGTTTAGCGTCCAGAATTTTTGAAAGGAACATTTACGTTTTTTCCAATTGGAAGCGATTGGGGCCACTTGGGGAGCCCCAATAAATCTTAGCAAATCAGTTTAAAGTTATAAGAATGTAATAAAAGTGCATTTTAATATTGTTAATCAATGGATTTGGCTGTGCGTTGATTCCTAGTTTTCTTAGTGATAGCTTTATATATAGAGATGAATGTGAAATATTCAACATTGCTAAAACGGAACATAGAATTACCAAATTGACATTTGAACTTACACCAGAAATTCAAAATTTAGGCCTAGTACTCACTTCAATCCAAAAGGCTACGAAATGAAAATCTCCACACAAAATTTTGATCACGAAATTTTTCGCCTGTCAGAGAAATTTGTCATGGATTTGTATATGGTGGTGACCAACAATTTTTATCATGTATCGACGTTTACTCAAAATTTGCTACTTTAGTAGAAGTCACAAGTAGGGATTGGTTAGAAGCTAAAAGAGCTATCATGAAAGTATAAACAACAAGAATAACAGATCGCCGGCCGCATACTAGTTACGGCGAGTTAGCGTAGTAGCGGCGCGGCGAAGAGAGAGTGGAGACTTCAAGGTGGAGAGAGAGAACTCTGATGGAGAGAGTTTGGAGAGTGAGAGTCGGGAGAACAAGGGTGCAGAGAGAGAGAGAGAGAGAGAGAGAGAGTGGAGACTTCTCAGGCAGAGCGACAGTTCCGGGTGCAAAAGGAATTAACGGAACGGGCACCGGACTTTGGACTTTGCCGTGGACTTTGGACTAGGAGGTCAAGTGCCACATCTCGGCAACCAAGCGGCACCCAGGCGTGCCACATGTACCATTGAAAGCAGCGGGTCGACAGCAACAAGCAGAACAAAAACTAAAGGCCGTGTGCGAAGTGCAAGGGAGTTAAACAGGAACCCTGGACCTTGGACCTGCATTGGATAGTTGCCACTGGCAGAGCGCAAAAGGAAATAACGGAACTGCGCCGGTCTTTGGACTCTGCAGTGGACGTTGGACAAGGGCCACATCTCCGCAGCGGAGCGACACACAGGCGTGCCACATGCACCATCGGAATCAGCGGGATGGCAGAAACACGCAGAGCTAAAAGCGAAGGCCATGCGTGAAGGACAAGTGGGTCAAATGGGAACCACGGACTTTGGACCCGGAGTGGAGAGATGCCGCGGACAGATTGCAAAGGGGAAATAACGGTACCTGGAGCTAAAGCCGCCGGGCGCTGGCAGCAGGATCAGTCGATCACGATCAGCCCGTCTATCAAGATCAGCCCAGATAACAAAGCGAGCAAGTCAGCAAGTACAGTGAACTACAAGTAAACAACAACAAGTCGAATCGCCGGAAGCAGCGCCGTGGGAGCCTACAATGAGCAAGATCGCTACGTCGAGACTTTCGGGATTGAATCACCAGAAATCTCCGAATTGAGACACAGATAGCTGAGGTCCAGAGGGCGTCACACGGCTAGGTCAAGGCGATCCGTTCCATTCCTGTCTCGCCAAATCCTCGCATATAGCCTGGAGCGTCGAACAGAGTTTGAGTGGTGAAAGCTTGCGACAAGAAACGTAAAACTCGGGGAGAAACCTATCTAGACCCAGTGTGCCTTACCTAACCAGGTCCTGGCGCGATCAGCCAGAAGGGAGATCGGTCAATCGTTTGTGGTCTCAAGTGGAGAACTCCAGAAGAGCCCTGCGGTTTGAGTCGTGTAATCCCGGAGAGGCGTGTGTCTAAGCTCCGAGTGAAACGAGCCAGAAGGGAGATCGGTCGAGCGTTTGTGGATAAGAGCCCTACGGTTGAGACGTGTAGTCCCGGATCGGCGTATGACCACGATCCCGAGCACCAGAAGCCACGCCTACGTCCAACCGCGCAGCCAGCATATCCAGGAGCAGAGCGAAAGACGTCGTCAGCGGCGAGCTAGCCAACGCATCGCGACAGATCGCGCTACGAGGAAACGTCACGGGCGACAAGCCAAAGGGTGAGGGTAGGGCGGAACGTTCGTTTGCACTAGGCGTAGAAGCGAAGTGAAGCGCTCGGCAGCATCCCTGCGTAACTTGGACTGCCAGCGGGACAGAGCAAGGGACAGGTGCTGGTGTATCGAGAGCATCTTCAGGGAGCTTCAAGGATTTTCAGGGAGCTTCAAGGATCGTCGAGGAAGTTACAGATCCAGAGCGCTAAATCGAAGAGGAGAGCACCGAGTCATCAAGGCGACCAGGAGTCACCGACGGCCACCAGTGGCAACACCAAGCCCAGCCGAGCCTACAAGAACACTGTACTATCACACCCGCAATAAACCCACTAAGAACCCGTGAATTCTGTGCTTTCTCATTGGTCTACTGGGCGGTCACGTTTATATAAATTTAGTGGGACGAACACACAACCTTACTGAGCTAGCCGCATGAATCTCGTAGCGAGCAGACATAAATAATCAGTTCGTTACAATATATGTGTGTAGCTTTACACAATTGGTTAAATTCAGAAGGAGTACAAGTTCAAGTAACAACAAGTGAAAACGGTATTTCAGACGTAAAAAGATTTCATAAAATGGTAAATGAGAAGCTGAGAATTATAGGATGTGAACCGGACATTGAAAACAGGTATATCAAATTTGAATTAATTCTCTGTATTTATAATCATAAAACAAAAAATAATGCTACCAGCCAACATATATATGTATGCAGGAACTCCTGATTACGACACACATAAAAAGAAAATAAATATAATTGAAAAGCTTAATGAAAAACGCCATGATTACGAAATACACACAAAATATAGACAAGCACCTTTAGTAAAGTACAAAACTACAAATCTATTTAAGAAGACAGGAACCTTGAGAAAAATTGACGAAAAACACTTTGAGGAAACAAATAGGGGAAGAAAGATTATTCATTATAAATCAAAATTTAAAAAGAAGAAGAAAATTTATAAAAGTAAATACGATGATAATTACAGGCAAACAGAAGAAAATGAACGGACCCAACAACAAAAACTTAATGAAAACAATGACCTTTTTTAAAACAGGATCAATAGATATCCCGATTAATTATGAATATCATTATCTAAGTGTAAACATAAGAAAAACTGAACAAACCTTTCAAAGTCTTTTGAAAGAAGGTAATGAATTTAATGACGTAATACAAATCCGATATCTAGTAGAAAAACTTAAAAGAGAAATTAACGGAATTACATTAGCAAAAAGCAGTAAGAGAGGTTTGTTCAATATTGTAGGATCAGTATATAAATACCTATTCGGAACATTAGACCAAGATGATAAAGATGAGATGAAAGAAAAAATTAATAATTTAGTAGATACTAGTGTTCAGAACACAGATTTAAATATGATTATCGATGTCATAAATAATGGAATTGAAGTAATTAATAAATTAAAGGCAGACGGAGAAAGGGAACAACAAGCCAGCGTTTTAATATTTAATTTACAACACTTTACAGAATACGTAGAAGATATCGAATTAGGGATGCAACTGACAAGATTAGGTTTATTCAATCCAAAATTATTAAAACATGATTATTTAAAAAACGTGAACCCTGAGAAATTGTTGAAAATCAAAACTTCCACTTGGCTTAAAACAGACACAAATGAAATTCTGATCATTTCCCATATTCCTTCAGAGGTAGTTAAATCGCCCGTTTTTGAAATTATTCCTTATCCCGATGAAAACAATAATATTTTAACAGAAAATATATTCGACAAATATTTCATATACGAAGATAAAGTATTTAACAAAGAAACAGGAAAAATTGTATTTGACGAATGTATAAATGGAATAATTAAACAAGAAAATACTGAATGCAAGTATACCAAAACATATACAAATTTCCAAATTAATTATGTTGAACCAAATATTTTATTAACATGGAATATTCCTAAAACATTATTAAATCAAAATTGCATTAATAAAGAAATTTCTATAGTTGGAAGTAACCTCGTTAAAATCCTTAATTGTTCAGTACAATTAGATGAATTCACTCTTTCAAATACAATGTTAGATTACACACAGAGCGTTTACGTAAATAACAATGTGACAAAATTAGAACCATTATCTTATATTCAAACGAAGGAAATAATAGAATCACACACAAAATATTATAATGTATTCCAAATAATCACTTTAACAACTTTTGTAATCATTATTATAAGCATTTTATTGTACTTATTGTATAAATTTAAGAGCATACCAAGAAAACTTATTGTAAAATATGTAAAACCAAAGGAAGATACACAAAAGAGTACAGAAATTGTAAATGATCTACCAAGGCAAATTAACATAGAAGAAAATGTAATGTTATACCCAACACTATCCACCTGAGGATAGGCCAAATTCAAAGAATGGGGGAGTGACATATCCATAGTTCCACATAACTTTATGCACATGTCCATACGCCCACACACTTACACACACATACACCATCCCAGAATTCACCCTTCAGATAACCTTAGTTCGCCACCAGCTAATATCTAATTGCAAATGTACCCAGGCTTTAGACTAAACATCCAGAACGAATCAAATTACGTTATCAGTTCGTTCCCACACTTTCGGACCCTCAATGGAAAATTACCATGAGAAAGAATCCCCAAAAGATTTAGACTAAACAATCGGATTGAGTCGCCATTGCATTATCAATCAACAATCCAAAGGGCAATTTTAAAACTCACTCAATTAAAGCTAACTCCACTCATAGAAAGCTCTAAAGCTCAGAACCGAGGTATGATCATCAAAGAAGTTTAAGTTAAGAAATGAGTTCAGTTTGAGACTTGTCTAAAGACAGTCGGTGTTCTTCCAAATAAAAAATATTGTAACCAGTTTAAAATTAAATTAAATAAAGTTTTTTTTTTATATTAAACTTATGGTGCAAACATTTTATTGGCGCAGCCGGTAGGATCTTGAAGTCATTTTAAAAGTCATCGGTACTGATCAACTAAAGGATATTACTATACGACTAGTTTGTCCTGATCAGCGAAAAATCCGTGAATATACAAAACGACAAATATCGAGATCCGCTAAAGAATCTATGTGTAATTTTCGCACGCAGAAACTAAAATAAAAATCCAATTCGGTCAATACACGCTTGAAATCTAAAAAGTGTCAATATTGAAAACAAAAATATAAAAAATTAAACATGGCAAATCCACCAGTGCTACCGCAGTTGTCTGAGCTGCATCTGAATCAGCTTATCGGACAAATCAAAGAGCTACCTTATTTCGACGGCAACCCATCGGAATTAAGTCGCTATATTGCCAGAGTAGAGTACTTACTGCAACTTTACCCTACTCAAGATGTTCGCCAAACCCACATCATCTATGGAGCCATTGAGAGGACCATCGTCGATTCCGCGCAAGCAGTCATCGAGGAAGAAAAGTCGAATACATGGGGAACAGCAAAAGTGGCCCTAATTAAAGCTTTCAAGGATCACAGGCCATACGAGGACATCATACAGCACGTTCGTGACACCCCATACCAAGGAAGCATCAGTAAGTTCGTAAACGAACTAAAATCCAGATCATCAAATGTACACAATAAGTTAGAACTAGAATCAGATCCAACAGACAAGCTAATTTACACAAGTTCCTTAAAAAAAACAATTAGGGATTGTATCGAAAGAAAACTTCCTGATAGATTGTATACTTCCTTGTCCAAAAAAGATATAACAACAGTTGCCAATCTAAAAGAAGCAGCAATGATTCTAGGTCACTGGGATGCAGACCCTTTTGATAATTATAAACCCAGGCGCAACGATAGTCGAAGGAATTCGGGAAATACACATCAAAATTATTATTATCAAAGGAACAATTCCCACTCCTATAGTTATCCAAGAAATAATAATAATAATTCAAATTCAACAACTTCTCAAAGTTCACCAAATAGAAATCAAATTCCCCCTCAAAATCAGGGAAATTATCAAGAGTGTAGGAGGAACTTAGATCAAGGTAGGGCCCAAAACCCCTTAAATTTCCAAGCATCAACTTCCAATAATTCTCCGAATACACCTGTTAAAAGACAAAGAGAGAGTGACAGTGCACAGAATAGAATGGACGTAAATTTTCAGCAAACTGCCTCGGATACAGAAAGTGTTGCCCATATGTCAGAGTAATGATTAAAGGAAAACTTCTTAGAGCTATGATAGATACAGGGTCATCTATCAATATAATGACGCAGAATTTTGGAAATAATGAGGAACAAGATGAAAAATTAAAAGTATTCACAATAAATGGGTCAATGGAACTAAATAAAAGTATTACATTGGATCCATGTAAAATCTGTCCAGTTAAACAAAAATTTTATTTACATAAATTTTCTGAAAATTATGACATTTTAATAGGTAGAGATTATTTGAAAGAAAGTAAAGCAAAAATAAATTACGAAGAAGAAACAGTGACGTTAGGAGATACATTACTTTATATAAAATATGGTGAGAACGATGTAGGAAAGGACAAGACCGCAGTAAAATGCCTTAGTCCACCATCAGTTAAAAAGGAGATTGAAGAGGATAAGACCGCATTAGAATGCCTTAATCCGCCCTTATCAAAGGACCAATCATTTAATTTTGCCATTAATAATGAATTAAAAGAATGCAATGAATACAGATTAGAACATTTGAATGAGGAAGAAAAAGAAAATTTAAAGAAGGTTTTATTTGAATACAATGACATACAGTACAAGGAAGGTGAGAATTTGACTTTTACAAGTACTATTAAACATTCAATACAAACAAAACATGAAGACCCAGTATATAGGAAGCCATATAAATACCCTCAAACCTTTGATGAAGAAGTTAATAAACAAATAAATGAAATGATTGAACAGGGAATAATTCGTAAATCAAAATCTCCCTATTGTTCACCCATTTGGATAGTTCCAAAAAAGAGCGATGCATCAGGCAAAATGAAGTTTAGATTAGTAGTGGATTACAGAAATTTAAATGAGATCACTATCAATGATAAATTTCCGATACCCAGAATGGATGAAATATTAGACAAATTGGGAAGATGTCAATATTTCACTACCATTGATTTAGCCAAAGGATTCCATCAAATTCAAATGGAACCAGAATCAATAGCTAAAACAGCATTCTCAACAAAACACGGTCATTACGAATACACACGAATGCCATTTGGTCTTAAAAACGCCCCCGCCACTTTCCAAAGATGTATGAACAATTTATTAGAAGATTTAATCTATACAGATTGTTTGGTATATCTAGATGATATTATAATTTTTTCCACTTCATTGGAAGAACACATTTTATCATTGAAAAAGGTATTTCAAAAATTACGTGATGCAAATTTAAAATTACAACTAGACAAATGTGAATTCATGAAAAAGGAAACAGAATTTTTAGGTCACGTAGTAACTACTACAGGTATTAAACCAAATCCACAAAAGATAAGTGCCATTATAAATTTTCCAATACCAAAATCTCCAAAAGAAATTAAATCATTTCTAGGATTGTGTGGATTTTATCGAAAATTCATACCAGACTTTGCACATATCGTAAAGCCAATGACAGTGAAATTAAAGAAAGGCGCCACAATCAATACTAAAGACAAACCTTACATAGAAGCATTTGAAAAAATGAAAGTTTTAATTACCTCAGACCCAATTTTAATTTATCCTGACTTTAATAAACCATTTTCTCTAACAACGGACGCAAGTAACATGGCTATAGGAGCAGTACTGTCACAAAATCATAAACCAATCTGTTATGCTAGCAGAACTCTTAACGAGCACGAAATAAATTACGCGACTATTGAAAAAGAACTTTTAGCAATCGTATGGGCTACCAAATATTTTAGATCATATTTATTCGGTAGGTCATTTGAAATATTAAGCGACCATAAACCTTTAGTCTGGCTAAATAATATAAAAGAACCAAATATGAAACTACAACGGTGGAAAATAAAATTAAACGAATTTGATTATCAGATTAAATATTTGCCAGGTAAAGAAAATTATGTTGCCGACGCTTTATCCAGGACCAAAATAGGAGAAAATATGTTTACAGATGATATTGAGGAAAATGTACTAGAAGAGACAGCCAGTAGTGGAAACGCAACAGCACACAGTGCGCAAGAAGATAACCAGAACTATATTTCTATAACCGAGAGACCATTTCATTACTTTTCCCGACAAATTGAAGGAATTAAAGGAGATGAAGATAAAACAGAAGTAACGCATTATTTCCACAAATTTAAAATTCAAATTATTTATAAAGAAATGACGGAAACTTTAGCAAAAGAGATAATTAAAGAATACCTATGTACCAAGAAGAGCGCAATATATTTCCATAACGATTCAGATTTTCTTATATTCCAAAAAGCTTATGTGGAAATTATAAATGCAAGTCATTTGACGAAATTAGTAAGATGTACGGCAAGACTTGAAGACATACTGACATACGCAGACTTTAAAGAAAAAATATTGAAACGACACAAAGACCTCTTACATCCAGGAATCGAAAAAACTACTAAATGGTTTAGAGAAAAATATTACTTCCCTGATTATCAAAAATTAATTCAGAATATAATAAATGAATGTGAAATTTGCAACATTGCTAAAACGGAACATAGAAATACCAAATTGACATTCGAACTTACACCAGAAATTCAAAATATAAGAGAGAAATTTGTCATGGATTTTTATATGGTGGGTAACCAACAATTTTTATCATGTATCGACGTTTACTCAAAATTTGCTACTTTAGTAGAAGTCACAAGTAGGGATTGGTTAGAAGCTAAAAGAGCTATCATGAAAGTATTTAACGAAATGGGAAAACCACAAGAAATCAAAGCAGATAAGGATTCAGCATTTATGTGTGTAGCTTTACACAATTGGTTAAACTCAGAAGGAGTACAAATTCAAGTAACAACAAGTAAAAACGGTATATCGGACGTAGAAAGATTTCATAAAATGGTAAATGAAAAGCTGAGAATCATAGGAAGTGAACCGGACATTGAAAACAGGTATACCAAATTTGAATTAATTCTGTATATTTATAATCATAAAACAAAACATAATGCTACAAATCAAGTACCACCAACATGAATTTATGAAAGAGGAAACCCCTGATTTTTACGATACACGTAGTAACAAATAAAGAGTATTAAAACTAAATCAAAAAGTATGATTAGTGAAATAGACACAAAATATACAATCACCAAAAGCTCCAAAAGTAATTAAATCCATTTAAGAAGCTAGGATTGAGAAAATTTGATCGAAAAACATAACTTTGCAACAAATCGTAAAACCAATGACAGATTGTTCATTATAATTCGAAATTTAAAAAGAAGACGCCACAATCAATACTAAAGTAAAAACCTTACTTAGGAAGCATTTGAAGAAAATGAAAGTTTAATTACCCAACAACAACAACTTAATAAAAAAATTTATCCCGACTTTAATAAACCATTTTCTCTAACAACGGACGCAAGTAACATGGCTATAGGAGCAGTACTGTCACAAAATCATAAACCAATCTGTTATGCTAGCAGAACTCTTAATGAGCACGAAATAAATTACGCGACTATTGAAAAAGAACTTTAAGCAATCGTATGGGCTACCAAATATTTTAGATCATATTTATTCGGTAGGTCATTTGAAATATTAAGCGACCATAAACCTTTAGTCTTGCTGAATAATATAAAAGAACCAATAATGAAACTTCAACGGTGGAAAATAAAATTAAACGAATTTGATTATCAGATTAAATATTTGCCAGGTAAAGAAAATTATGTTGCCGACGCTTTATCCAGGACCAAAATAGAAGAAAATATGTTTACAGATGATATTGAGGAAAATGTATTAGAAGAGACAGCCAGTAGTGTAAACGCAACAGCACACAGTGCGCAAGAAGATAACCAGAATTATATTTCTATAACCGAGAGACCATTTAATTATTTTTTCCCGACAAATTGAAGTAATTAAAGGAGATGAAGACAAAACAGAAGTAACGCATTATTTCCACAAATTAAAAATTCAAATTATTTATAAAGAAATGACGGAAACTTTAGCAAAAGAGATAATTAAAGAATACCTATGTACCAAGAAGAGCGCAATATATTTCCATAACGATTCAGATTTTCTTATATTCCAAAAAGCTTATGTGGAAATTATAAATGCAAGTCATTTGACGAAATTAGTAAGATGTACGGCAAGACTTGAAGACATACTGACATATGCAGACTTTAAAGGAAAAATATTGAAACGACACAAAGACCTCTTACATCCAGGAATCGAAAAAACTACTAAATGGTTTAGAGAAAAATATTACTTCCCTGATTATCAAAAATTAATTCAGAATATAATAAATGAATGTGAAATTTGCAACATTGCTAAAACGGAACATAGAAATACCAAATTGACATTCGAACTTACACCAGAAATTCAAAATATAAGAGAGAAATTTGGGTGGGTGGGTAACCAACAATTTTTATCATGTATCGACGTTTATTCAAAATTTGCTACTTTAGTAGAAGTCACAAGTAGGGATTGGTTAGAAGCTAAAAGAGCTATCATGAAAGTATTTAACGAAATGGGAAAACCACAAGAAATCAAAGCAGATAAGGATTCAGCATTTATGTGTGTAGCTTTACACAATTGGTTAAACTCAGAAGGAGTACAAATTCAAGTAACAACAAGTAAAAACGGTATATCGGACGTAGAAAGATTTCATAAAATGGTAAATGAGAAGCTGAGAATCATAGGAAGTGAACCGGATATTGAAAACAGGTATACCAAATTTGAATTAATTCTGTATATTTATAATCATAAAACAAAACATAATGCTACAAATCAAATACCAGCCAACATATTTATGTATGCAGGAACCCCTGATTACGATACACAAGAAAAGAAAATAAATAGAATTGAAAAGCTTAATGAAAAACGTCATGATTACGAAATAGACACAAAATATAGACAAGCACCTTTAGTAAAGTCCAAAACTGCAAATCCATTTAAGAAGACAGGAACCTTGAGAAAAATTGACGAAAAACACTTTGAGGAAACAAATAGGGGAAGAAAGATTATTCATTATAAATCGAAATTTAAAAAGAAAAAGAAAATTAATAAAAGTAAATACGATGATAATTCCAGGCAAGCAGAAGAAAATGAACGGACCCAACAACAACAACTTAATGAAAACAATGACCTTCTCCATAATACTAACAACTTTAATTCAATTAACAATATTTAAAACAGGATCAATTGATATCCCGATTAATTATGAATATCATTATCTAAGTGTAAACATAACAAAAACTGAACAAACTTTTGAGAGTCTTTTGAAAGAAGCTGATGAATTTAATGACGTAATACAAATCCGATATCTAGTAGAAAAACTTAAAAGAGAAATTAACGGAATTACATTAGCAAAACGCAGTAAGAGAGGTTTATTCAATATTGTAGGATCAGTATATAAATACCTATTCGGAACATTAGACCAAGATGATAAAGATGAGATGGAAGAAAAAATTAATAATTTAGTAGATACTATTGTTCAGAACACAGATTTAAATATGATTATCGATGTCATAAATAATGGAATTTAAGTAATTAATAAATTAAAGGCAGACGGAGAAAGGGAACAACAAGCCAGCGTTTTAATATTTAATTTACAACACTTTACAGAATACGTAGAAGATATCGAATTAGGGATGCAACTGACAAGATTAGGTTTATTCAATCCAAAATTATTAAAACATGATTATTTAAAAAACGTGAACCCTGAGAAATTGTTGAAAATCAAAACTTCCACTTGGCTTAAAACAGACACAAATGAAATTTTGATCATTTCCCATATTCCTTCAGAGGTAGTTAAATCGCCCGTTTTTGAAATTATTCCTTATCCTGATGAAAACAATAATATTTTAACAGAAAATATATTCGACAAATATTTCTTATACGAAGATAAAGTATTTAACAAAGAAACAGGAAAAATTGTATTTGACGAATGTATAAATGGAATAATTAAACAAGAAAATACTGAATGCAAGTATACCAAAACATATACAAATTTCCAAATTAATTATGTTGAACCAAATATTTTATTAACATGGAATATTCCTAAAACATTATTAAATCAAAATTGCATTAATAAAGAAATTTCTATAGTTGGAAGTAACCTCGTTAAAATCCTTAATTGTTCAGTACAATTAGATGAATTCACTCTTTCAAATACAATGTTAGATTACACACAGAGCGTTTACGTAAATAACAATGTGACAAAATTAGAACCATTATCTTATATTCAAACGAAGAAAAATAATAGAATCACACACAAAATATTATAATGTATTCCAAATAATCACTTTAACAACTTTTGTAATCATTATTATAAGCATTTTATTGTACTTATTGTATAAATTTAAGAGCATACCAAGAAAACTTATTGTAAAATATGTAAAACCAAAGGAAGATACACAAAAGAGTACAGAAATTGTAAATGATCTACCAAGGCAAATTAACATAGAAGAAAATGTAATGTTATACCCAACACTATCCACCTGAGGACAGGCCAAATTTAAAGAATGGGGGAGTGACATATCCATAGTTCCACATAACTTTATGCACATGTCCATACGCCCACACACTTACACACACATACACCATCCCAGAATTCACCCTTCAGATAACCTTAGTTCGCCACCAGCTAATATCTAATTGCAAATGTACCCAGGCTTTAGACTAAACATCCAGAACGAATCAAATTACGTTATCAGTTCGTTCCCACACTTTCGGACCCTCAATGGAAAATTACCATGAGAAAGAATCCCCAAAAGATTTAGACTAAACAATCGGATTGAGTCGCCGGTGCATTATCAATCAACAATCCAAAGGGCAATTTTAAAACTCACTCAATTAAAGCTAACTCCACTCATAGAAAGCTCTAAAGCTCAGAACCGAGGTATGATCATCAAAGACGTTTAAGTTAAGAAATGAGTTCAGTTTGAGACTTGTCTAAAGACAGTCGGTGTTCTTTTCAAAAAAAAATTTTTATTATTATTTTAAAATAAAATTAAAAAAATTTTTTTTTTTATATTAAACTTATGGTGCAAACATTTTATTATATAGTGACATATCCATAGTTCCACATAACTTTATGCACATGTCCATACGCCCACACACTTACACACACATACACCATCCCAGAATTCACCCTTCAGATAACCTTAGTTCGCCACCAGCTAATAATTTAATTTAAAAATCCCCCCGGGTTTAAAAAAAACATCCAAAACAAATCAAATTACGTTATCAGTTCGTTCCCACACTTTCGGACCCTCAATGGAAAATTACCATGAGAAAGAATCCCCAAAAGATTTAGACTAAACAATCGGATTGAGTCGCCGGTGCATTATCAATCAACAATCCAAAGGGCAATTTTAAAACTCACTCAATTAAAGCTAACTCCACTCATAGAAAGCTCTAAAGCTCAGAACCGAGGTATGATCATCAAAGAAGTTTAAGTTAAGAAGTGAGTTCAGTTTGAGACTTGTCTAAAGACAGTCGGTGTTCTTCCAAATAAAAAATATTGTAACCAGTTTAAAATTAAATTAAATAAAGTTTTTTTTTTTATATTAAACTTATGGTGCAAACATTTTATTGGCGCAGTCGGTAGGATCTTGAAGTCATTTTAAAAGTCATCGGTACTGATCAACTAAAGGATATTACTATACGACTAGTTTGTCCTGATCAGCGAAAAATCCGTGAATATACAAAACGACAAATATCGAGATCCGCTAAAGAATCTATGTGTAATTTTCGCACGCAGAAACTAAAATAAAAATCCAATTCGGTCAATACGCGCTTGAAATTTAAAAAGTGTCAATATTGAAAACAAAATATAAAAAATTAAACATGGCAAACCCACCAGTGCTACCGCAGTTGTCTGAGCTGCATCTGAATCAGCTTATCGGACAAATCAAAGAGCTACCTTATTTCGACGGCAACCCATCGGAATTAAGTCGCTATATTGCCAGAGTAGAGTACTTACTGCAACTTTACCCTACTCAAGATGTTCGCCAAACCCACATCATCTATGGAGCCATTGAGAGGACCATCGTCGATTCCGCGCAAGCAGTCATCGAGGAAGAAAAATCGAATACATGGGGAACAGCAAAAGTGGCCCTAATTAAAGCTTTCAAGGATCACAGGCCATACGAGGACATCATACAGCACGTTCGTGACACCCCATACCAAGGAAGCATCAGTAAGTTCGTAAACGAACTAAAATCCAGATCATCAAACGTACACAATAAGTTAGAATTAGAATCAGATCCAACAGACAAGCTAATTTACACAAGTTCCTTGAAGAAAACAATTAGGGATTGTATCGAAAGAAAACTTCCTGATAGATTGTATACTTCCTTGTCCAAAAAAGATATAACAACAGTTGCCAATCTAAAAGAAGCAGCAATGATTCTAGGTCACTGGGATGCAGACCCTTTTGATAATTATAAACCCAGGCGCAACGATAGTCGAAGGAATTCGGGAAATACACATCAAAATTATTATTATCAAAGGAACAATTCCCACTCCTATAGTTATCCAAGAAACAACAATAATAATTCAAATTCAACAACTTCTCAAAGTTCACCAAATAGAAATCAAATTCCCCCTCAAAATCAGGGAAATTATCAAGAGTGTAGGAGGAACTTAGATCAAGGTAGGGCCCAAAACCCCTTAAATTTCCAAGCATCAACTTCCAATAATTCTCCGAATACACCTGTTAAAAGACAAAGAGAGAGTGACAGTGCACAGAATAGAATGGACGTAAATTTTCAGCAAACTGCCTCGGATACAGAAAGTGTTGCCCATATGTCAGAGTAATGATTAAAGGAAAACTTCTTAGAGCTATGATAGATACAGGGTCATCTATCAATATAATGACGCAGAATTTTGGAAATAATGAGGAACAAGATGAAAAATTAAAAGTATTCACAATAAATGGGTCAATGGAACTAAATAAAAGTATTACATTGGATCCATGTAAAATCTGTCCAGTTAAACAAAAATTTTATTTACATAAATTTTCTGAAAATTATGACATTTTAATAGGTAGAGATTATTTGAAAGAAAGTAAAGCAAAAATAAATTACGAAGAAGAAACAGTGACGTTAGGAGATACATTACTTTATATAAAATATGGTGAGAACGATGTAGGAAAGGACAAGACCGCAGTAAAATGCCTTAGTCCACCATCGGTTAAAAAGGAGATTGAAGAGGATAAGACCGCATTAGAATGCCTTAATCCGCCCTTATCAAAGGACCAATCATTTAATTTTGCCATTAATAATGAATTAAAAGAATGCAATGAATACAGATTAGAACATTTGAATGAGGAAGAAAAAGAAAATTTAAAGAAGGTTTTATTTGAATACAATGACATACAGTACAAGGAAGGTGAGAATTTGACTTTTACAAGTACTATTAAACATTCAATACAAACAAAACATGAAGACCCAGTATATAGGAAGCCATATAAATACCCTCAAACCTTTGATGAAGAAGTTAACAAACAAATAAATGAAATGATTGAACAGGGAATAATTCGTAAATCAAAATCTCCCTATTGTTCACCCATTTGGATAGTTCCAAAAAAGAGCGATGCATCAGGCAAAATGAAGTTTAGATTAGTAGTGGATTACAGAAATTTAAATGAGATCACTATCAATGATAAATTTCCGATACCCAGAATGGATGAAATATTAGACAAATTGGGAAGATGTCAATATTTCACTACCATTGATTTAGCTAAAGGATTCCATCAAATTCAAATGGAACCAGAATCAATAGCTAAAACAGCATTCTCAACAAAACACGGTCATTACGAATACACACGAATGCCATTTGGTCTTAAAAACGCCCCCGCCACTTTCCAAAGATGTATGAACAATTTATTAGAAGATTTAATCTATACAGATTGTTTGGTATATCTAGATGATATTATAATTTTTTCCACTTCATTGGAAGAACACATTTTATCATTGAAAAAGGTATTTCAAAAATTACGTGATGCAAATTTAAAATTACAACTAGACAAATGTGAATTCATGAAAAAGGAAACAGAATTTTTAGGTCACGTAGTAACTACTACAGGTATTAAACCAAATCCACAAAAGATAAGTGCCATTATAAATTTTCCAACACCAAAATCTCCAAAAGAAATTAAATCATTTCTAGGATTGTGTGGATTTTATCGAAAATTCATACCAGACTTTGCACATATCGTAAAACCAATGACAGTAAAATTAAAGAAAGGCGCCACAATCAATACTAAAAACAAACCTTACATAGAAGCATTTGAAAAAATGAAAGTTTTAATTACCTCAGACCCAATTTTAATTTATCCTGACTTTAATAAACCATTTTCTCTAACAACGGACGCAAGTAATATAGCTATAGGAGCAGTACTGTCACAAAATCATAAACCAATCTGTTATGCTAGCAGAACTCTTAACGAGCACGAAATAAATTACGCGACTATTGAAAAGGAACTTTTAGCAATCGTATGGGCTACCAAATATTTTAGATCATATTTATTCGGTAGGTCATTTGAAATATTAAGCGACCATAAACCTTTAGTCTGGCTAAATAATATAAAAGAACCAAATATGAAACTACAACGGTGGAAAATAAAATTAAACGAATTTGATTATCAGATTAAATATTTGCCAGGTAAAGAAAATTATGTTGCCGACGCTTTATCCAGGACCAAAATAGAAGAAAATATGTTTACAGATGATATTGAGGAAAATGTACTAGAAGAGACAGCCAGTAGTGGAAACGCAACAGCACACAGTGCGCAAGAAGATAACCAGAACTATATTTCTATAACCGAGAGACCATTTAAT